ACATGAGGCATTTTAAAAGGCACCATTGCGATACATAAACATACAGTTTTAAGGATTAAAAATGTCAGAAAACTTTTCTGACTGTATAGTATACTGTACACCCTTCACATTTTTATCACTTCTAAAATAATTCAGTATGCCATGTTGGCAGGGAATTATGGTAGGAAAATGGGAGTGAAGCTAGAAGAGGAAGGAAGAGGTAATAGGATAAGCAAAGTGTTTCCTGTAGCTACCGGGAGTTGACCTGAGAATTACTCATGAAATTCATTCATCCATCCATTTATTTCCAGGAGCTCCTGTTCTCCAGAGATTATGTTCAACATGTAAGAGATAAAGCAACCATTAAATATTTTATGAAGTCCAGAGTCTATTGGTCAGTAAACTAAATGACAGTACACCCAAAGAGTCCTATAAACTCTGAGTGGTCCTGGAGCAGCTTCCAAGAGGAAGTGATGGGTGAATTTCCCTCCCCCTAATTCTAGTCCTGCCCCTCACCTTTGGACCATCCTTGTTTTCAAGCTGTCAGACTGGTTTTATTGCTTATAGGAATGAATATGAAACCAGCAGGTAAAAAATATGGGCCCTGTCTTGGGCTTTGAGTTCTAAAGGTCAGGCCCTTAATTTAAGGACCGATCTGGATATGTAGATGCCAGATAAAGTAGAATATGGAATAAGTAAGAACAAGGTTTTCTACTCAGAAGGTCAAGGGAAGAGTCCATGGACTCAGGGTAGGGGGAGGTTTTAGAGGAGCTAGGCTGAGCCTTGGTGAAATGGGAAACCTTCAGCAGGAGGACTTCAATAATTGGTAGAATTACAAGAAAAAGTGAGAAATAGTGGTCGGAAGGTGTTCCAGGGATGGAGTCTTAGTGCAGAGTTTCCTGTCTCCATTTGGGGTATAGCAGTCAGCAGTGAAATTATTTTAGGGTATCTCAGAATGGGTTGGACAAAGTCAAGAGAGGGGAAAGAGTAAATGGAAGTCATTGCTAGAAATGGAGGGCTTGCATGAACAGAAATATCTTGGAACAAGTGGTAGCAACTGTCATGAGTGAAATTCTTGATAAATGACATAATGGGCATTTTAGCAAATTACATTTTGGATGGATAATATCAAGCTAGACGGACTCTGACATCTTATGTTGAAAACGTCCCTTCCAAATTTAGATGAGAGGGACTAGAGAGATGGCTCAGTGGTTAAGAGCTCTGGTTGCTCTTGTAGAGGACCTGGGTTTGACTCCCAGCACCCACATGACAGCTAACAACTGCCCTAACTCCAGTTCCAGGGGCTCCAACACCCCTTTCTGATCTCTGCAGGCATTGCACGACACAGGCACACTTACACACATGCAGGCAATACACTCATACACAAAATAAAAAATTTTAGATGAGATTCCAGAGCAACAGGGACTGGTAGTGAATCAATTAGAAAGGGGCTGAGATTAACCTTCTGCCATTTAGGTGGGATGGGGCCTAGAACGAAGGTTTACTGTGAGTAACAGAAAAATAAAGCTATATTTCTTATTTCTTTGATTTGTAAACTTATATTTATTCTTACTATAATGGTGATACTTTTTAAAAAATATTTTATTATTTTTATTTTATGTGTATGCATGTATTGCCTGCATGTAGGTTAGTGCACCCACATCATGCAATGTGCGCGGAGCACAGAAGAGGCTGTGTGATCCCCTGGAAGTGGAGTTACAGACAGTTGTTAGCTGCCATTTGGGTGCTGGGAATCGAACCCAGGTCTTCTGCAAGAACAGTCAGTGTTCTTCACTGCTGAGCCATCTCTCCAGCCCCATGGTGATACTTCTTAATGGCAAATAGGAATAGGAAAAGGACAGGGCCTAGGTAAGTACTGTCTCATGGGCTTTTATACTGTGGCATGGTGCCTGAAAATGATCTCAGTAGCAGGATGGATGTGTGTGGGTGTTTACCAGGAAATAAAGATGGGCAGAGGTTGACAAGAGTTAGGTCAGAGAGGGTCTCATATTCCAAACAGCGGCATTATCAATTTCTTCCAGAAATAAATGTGGAAACATTGAGGAATTTTAAAAGAGTAACATTCAAATGTAGAAGACTATTGCTTGAGATGTCCAGGGATGTATTAGGAGAGGACAGAACTCAAGGCAGAATGATTAGTGTCAGATTAGTTAAGAGAAGTGGGAGAGACTTAATTTTTAGTAGTTTTGGTATTGGACTACTAGGAAAGAGGTGCCAGGTCTTTGTGCTTGTTTACACTGGGGATGGGGGAGAAAAACTGAAGATATTTCTAGGTTTCTGAGATTCTGAATAGAAGAAGAGAAATGATTTGATGATGGTTTTCAGTTTTGTTCCTGAATACCTCAATCTGTGTTTAAGCAGGATCACAGTGTAAGTATTTAGCTCAGAGCTGGAACATGGGTCAGGACCCCATTATAGAGGTCTATTTCAGCTGAATCACCAACATAAAAGACAGTGTGGGAAGCAGTTGAGGTTCGATAGCATTAGAAACCTAGAAGCAGACACAGAAGGGAACTCTGGAGAAAGCTTCTCTGTGGGAGAGAAAAGAAGCTGCTTCAGAGCCAGAAAAATCCAGCCTAGCAGACCAGAGAAGAAATGTGAAGCCAGGAGTAGCAGTTAGCACTAGAAGGCAAGAGAGGTGAAGCCTGTACTTTGGATTGGGTAGTTAGACCACGGAGCATCAACTTCATAGAACATGAGAGATAGAGGGTGGAAGGTTGAAAACCCACAAGGCAGCACACATTCTGCTCTTTTAGGATATCAAGTAGGAAGAGAAGAAAGCATGGGAGTAATGACTTCAGGGAGCTTCTTTGACACACAAGAGAGCTTATTTCTAGGGCAAAGGGATAGCATTAGCAAAGAGAGATGAAAAGAGAAGAAAAGACTGAAGTAAGTTATTAGGTTGGGAGAGACTTGGAGATCTGTAGTGAGAACAGATGTCACTTGCTCTGAGGCGGGAAGGAAATGGGAGTAGGGATGCAGGGACAAGCATAGATCAGGGGACATGGAAACAATTTCACACTGATTAGGCCCTCGTTCTTCTAGAGTTTTGATGAGGATCACAGAGAAGATATCATCCATGTGTCCCTCCTTCTCAAACGTTCTCTTCAATGAAATGAATACATGGATATTTAACCTTATGCCCCTTGAAATTCAAACATGTTCAGCAGGTGGTCTACAAGGGCAGGATGCTTTGGAACGGCTATTCCCCTGGACAGTGTTACAGCAATCTTGCTTAGAATTAGTGGTGCATGGTAATAATTAAAATCAGCCTGACTTTTACTCCGTTTACTATGATCTTTAAATCTTCTTTAGAGTGCTTTCCTCTTACAGCCTTCATCTAGGCAGATCTTTCCTGTTACTCTGCCCTTGGTTTACCACTGGTGCTCAGATCTCTGCCTTGGGGCTTCCCTTTGAACAACTATAAATGCTTGAGATGGGAAGGAAGCTACAATCCCATTTTACCCTTTCGTAGTCTAGAAGAAAGTGAAGAGCAGATGAGTAACTGATTCTGTGCATCTGGAACCCAGGTCTTCTGACTACGTTAGACTCAGGAAGAAAGGTCTTTCTGGTCTTCCTTTCCAGATCAACTCTGAGAGAGTCATTTAGCAGCATCCAAGTTAGAGAATGTCTCATGGGGACCACTCGGATCTGTCAGGAAGCCAACAGGCATTTTGGGAGAGGAGGTGGGAGGAATGGTTTGATTGTGCTGTTTTCCGTCTGGTGTGGCGTCATCTGCTTGCTAATTAAGGGCTTTTATAGCTCACCACAACAAATCACTCTTGTCATATTATTCATTGACAATAAAGTCAAAGAATTTTGGGTTTTCTTCTCATTTTGAAACACAGTCTTATATTGTAGTTTATACTGACCTGGACTCACCATTAGCCTAGGGTGGCCTCAAATGCATGGTAATCCTCCTGTCTCAGCCTCCTGAATGCTGAGATTACAAAGCCATCACACTTGGCTTAAGTTCAAAGAATTTTGAATGCCTTTTTTTTTTTAAAAAAAAAAACAAAACTTCTTAAAGCTCCAAACCATACATTTCTGAAGGTTGTGTATGAGAACTGTGACTGTTTTCATAGGCTATGGTAATACATCATTAGAAATAAGGCCAAAATATGCAAAGTAAACCCCAAAGGGAACAAAATGACCCATGACAGAAAACAGAGGCAGGGAAATAAGCAGAGAGCACACTGTTAGGTCCTCTTAGTTCTTATACTCTCCTGGTGTGCAATGTTGGATAGAATATAAATATTTAAAAAAAAATTTCATTGTGGGATAGAAATATTTCTCTGTGATAGAGCACTTGTCTAGCATGTGTTTATGTTCAGTTCTCAGGACCATCAAAAATTATTGAAGAAATACTATGGAAAGATTTTATTTAATAGTTGAAGGAAGAAAACACTTAGCCTATCATTTATGTACTTTGTATATTCATTTTCTTCAATTGGACTTGCTTTAAATGGAAGTGCATCATATAGCTAAGTACATCCCAAAGGCAGGTAAGTTAACAGAAGTGTCATAGATCTCAAGAGTTAATGATTGTTGTGGTTAAAGGAGGCAGAGGCGAAACTTTAGACAAATTAATTGTGGAACAGACTTCTATGACTTCAAATAACGTGGGTGTTTGCAGGAAATACTTGAGTTTATTTTCAATCTCTTTATACCATGTTTGATGAAAGTTAAATAAGATAACTCTGTGTTTGGTTAGTGGCCCTTGATAAATGCTTAATAAATGGTGGTAGGAACCACCCCATAGTTGAAGATGGACATTGCTTGGGCCTACACAAGCCTCACAGAATCAGTTATACCTAAAAGCTTGCTCCCAGCAAACTAGACTCTTTAGAAAGACAAGAAACACTACTTTCTGCTGGTGTCCTTTTGGTGGCGAATGATTCTATGCAGTGGTCAGTTATTTCCAGTTCTTCTTTTTAAAAAATGACACATACTCTTTTGAAAAAGCAGTATGTAGGTGGCCACTTGGAAAATGCTCTTACCTCTCCTGTAGTCCTATGGGCTTCATTTTGAAAGGAGAAGGGTAGACAGTAGTGGAACTGGCAGTTCTGATCTCAGGAGTGCATTGACCTTGAGGGTCCACAACAACACTCAGCACCTTTGGCGCCTGCTCAGGCTGGACCATGCTGTGGATGGTCTTCGCTTCAGACTGGGCTGGCTGTAATATGATGGGTGATAGGTGGATCTCCTGGTTTTTCTCTTTATCTTGTCTTAGGGAAAGCTGAAACCTTTTTTTTAACCTCTGAATAATCTACAAAAAGAGATATAAGGCCTCCTGTTAGATTTTTATATACTGGACAACAAGCAGAATATACTCTCTACCCAATCCCAGAAGACATCAAAATAAACATCAGTGATAAATAAGCATAGTCTTCTAATATGATTTCTTGATTTTGGGCATTGAGATTTTCTTCCTTAAAGGATATATTTAGTATATGAACAAGACCATACAAGGTCAAGTCAACAAAATCAGTCAATATTCCAGCAGGCTGAGTTACCAAAGCCGGGGGGAGGGAGAGGGAGGTTGGAGAGGCGTATATGCATATATATATA